TTATAAAACCTTTTTTGTGATTATATTTTATTGTTGTTTTTTGTTAGAGATTTAATTTCTATCAATCAAATTGTGTTGAAATACATGTAACGAGAAAACAGTATTATTTAAATACATGACAGGAATAGGGCTTCCAATAAATTCTTATCACTTTTAAAATCAAAACAACTTTTCTTTTTCTTTATTCTTCAGTGAATTTCTTCTACTTTTTTATGCATTAATAGAAACGACTGTTTATATGGTTTAAGTTAAGCGGAAATTATAAAGATCTTGAATTTGGTCCAAATTCGGGCTCAACTCTAAACTCAATACTGAATTAATTGCGAATAAATTATTTACCAAATGTTTTTTGCGAAAAAACTATGTTCTCTCGAAATGATTAAAAAACTAATTAATACACATATATATGGATATAATATATTTATTAACTAATTAATATGTTTGCTTTAACTCTAATCAAATTAATTAATTATTATTTAATTGATTTTTTAAAAGTAATTTAATAAGAAATATAAGATATAAAAATGACATATTTTACTACTACTTATCTGGATATCTAGTTAACACAATGATTAGTTAATTTAAATAAACTTAATTAACATTTCTATTTAGATGTAAGTATAAAATGCAATAAAATATTAATACATTATATTATAAATATTTAGTTTATTAAAATATAAGCTAATTTCAAGAATGTTTATAAAATATTTTAATTTTCAAAATTCTTTTCGATACTAATTCAAGAATATGTATTCAAAATAAATTAAATACAAATAAAATAAATCTTTATCTTATTCTTGACTTTTGCAGAATATTCTCAGTTCATAAATAAGACACTTTTCAAGGCTTTTGACAAATTCTTGGTCTAAAATTATGTATAAATTTGTTTACATTTTAAGGTTCTCTCAATTTTATGCCAAAAACCACCAAAATTCTGGGCGAAGGAGGAGTGCATTTCCCCAACGCATACGTCACCACACCGTATGTCTCAAGAATTACCATTCATTTCTGCCATTCAATACATATATTATCTCTATTGCATAGGATGTGTTGTCCGAGTCGGTCCTCCTCTTTGACGGGACTCTATGTACACAATCATAACGTTTATGTGAGTTTTGGGATGCGTTTTATGGGGACAAACATTTCCGATAATACAATAGCACTTTTGCATTTCTAATATTGATTTACCGTATGTTTGCATTTCGCAACTCACAGACAAATAACGACAATTGCAGTTCACAACACTGGCAAACCACTTACGAGACCAGAACTTTCGCCTCTTATCTCAGTAATGCCGGCTATCGGACGGGTAGGACAGACACACAACCAAACCATTTATGCCCACAATTATAGTTAATAACAGTTTATTGTATTAATTTTCTTCCACACTTCGTGTTTGACAGCATTTTTCGGTAAATACCTGAATGAATACAACGGTACATACATTCCTCAGGGATGGAAGGAATGGTCGGCTTTAGTACGAAATTCACGTTTTTATAATTACACACTGAATGTGAACGGGAATAAAGTGAAACACGGAGACGACTACCATCTCGATTATTATCCCGACCTCATTACCAACGATAGTCTTCAGTTTCTGCGCTATTCGAAGCGATTCTTCGCTAATAAACCTTTACTTATGGTGTTATCATATCCGGGCCCTCACGGCCCCGAAGACGCCGCCCCGCAGTTCCAGAACCTCTTCCTTAACGTCACAACTCATCGGTAGACAAACACTTCAAATATTGATACTTTGTTTAAGTAAATAATACGATCTCAATGTTTGCATATCTCGTTTTCGATCTAATAGTACCAAAAGTTGGAACTTTGCTCCAAATCCGGACAAACAATGGATCCTAAGAAATACGGGTAAAATGGAACCGATTCACGAAGAATTCACTGATATGTTGCACACAAAACGATTGCAAACATTACAATCGGTGGACGAATCCGTGGAAAAGGTATTCAAATTACAACACAATACTAACTTTTGTTTTAATAAATTCTTTCTTTTTAAACAGTTATACAATGAGCTCAAAGAATTAGGAGAACTCGGTCTGTATTCACTACTCTTTGGTTGGCATTAAATGACTTAATAAAATGTATTTTTATTTATATTTTAGACAACACATATATATTTTACACATCAGATCACGGCTACCATTTGGGACAAGTAATTCTAACTGACATTATCTAATCGACACACAAGTAATGTGTTTTGTTTTAATTCAAATTAGTTTGGATTAGTTAAGGGCAAAGCCATGCCTTTTGAATTTGATGTAAGGGTTCCCTTCTTTGTGAGGGGACCTAAACTAACCGGCGGTCAAAAGTATGTCTATCATATCAAACCATTTGCACCATTACTTTAATAAACTTTATTTATACAGAATTGACAACATTGTGCTCAACATAGATCTGGCGCCTACTTTCCTGGATATCGCCGGCGTTAAAGTTCCCGATCATATGGACGGCAGCTCTGTATTGCCATTGCTTAAGAAGACAACTGAAACCAATAAATCTGATGTTGAGCTTAAAAAACCAAAGGATGTCGAGTGGAGACATACTTTCCTCATTGAAAGAGGGTTTGTATTGATTGTTAACACAAATTAAATCTAACGTTTAGTAATTATTAATTATTTAATTTATTTAACAGAAAATATACCAAAGAGTCGGACAATCCTTTCCGGACTCTATCGAAAAAAGAGTGGCTCACAATTGAGTGCCAAAAACCCGAATATCAGTCTCCGTGCAGTCCTTATCAGCGCTTTGAGTGTTATTTCGATGGCTCTGAGACCAGAATCAGGAAATGTAGAAAATCCTATTGGAGTCCTTCATATCAGAGAAAAGTACACCAGAAGTGTATTTGCTCTTCGGATCAGTCGACCGATACATCGGATCATAAATACGAGGAATCGTTTGATATTAATTCCGAAGATTTACTAATAAAATCAAAGAAACGAAAACTGGATTCAAATGAGAAGAAATTGCAGCGAAGGTTCCTTAAAGAGCATGTGTTTAACAAAGATTTTCGGCCCATTTTTATCAGTTCCCGAAATAAACGAGAATTAGATTTACTGATGAACGAGGCTTTCGATGTCGAGGGGGTCTATGAATTGAGTAAACTGTTGGACGCGAGCACTACTAAAGTGTACAACGAGTCAGCCATCGAAGACATCGAGACGTTTAACTACAAGAACAACACCTCGTGTACGATATCAGCCAATCTGTCCATCACTTGTTCCGACGAAGTGTACGAAAACAAAGAGTTGTGGCGCCAGAAGAAGACTCGATTGGATTCGATGATTAAAAAGCTTCAGAACAAACTCATTGAACTAAAGGGTATCCGACGGCACCTCAATATGAAACGACCAGCGCTTCACAAAGAAGTGGACACTAATGATGGCTATAAATGCGATTGCGATGCGACCGCCGACAGGGATGGCGGACACCGTCGGGACAACCGGTATATGAAACGCCGGTATAGAAAACGGATGAGATTTATGGAAAGACATCATTTGAGGAAAGAGAAAAAATTGCGGCGAAAAAGTAAATTCTTGAACACAACGTGTAATTACGAGAAAATGAATTGTTTTACTCACGATAACCATCACTGGAAGACCGCACCTCTTTGGACGAGTAAGAAATCTCTTAATTTAGTATTACTTTTCTCTTTTCATAGCCTTATATTCAATACATTACACACTCTATATATACACAGATATAAAAATATACCGCAATTTAATACTTTCGAGTATAACATTAATACATATAACAATAAATACAGTTATAAAAAGTTTATGCTTTAAAATCAATAATAACCATAAGAATAAATGAGAGCTATTTTAAGAATTAATGCATTTAACGCACACCCCGTATACCCATCACCCCATTGCCCCCTCCCCTCCATCCCTACCCCGAAAGGCGACTGAATAGCGAAATAAATGCGATCTTTTATGTCATTACTTTTTATGGAGGATTAGAAGTTCTTTGAATCTAATTTAAGCCAAACTTAAACTAACAACAAAAAAATTGTTTACTTTTTTGATGCCAATGGATATTAAAACTTACTTTAAGTTTAATATAATATATCCGATGCTATCAATGATTGCCATTCATTGACTCGCAATCTATTTAACGATTTTCTTACTCTCCTTATGAATAAAAGTTTAATAATAGTTAATAGTTTAATAAGTTATAAAAACTAATATTTATTTTATCGGTAAAAGAGTTTTTTTTCGTTTTAACAATTTTGGTCGCACTCTAAGTAGTATTTTATTATTTATGATTAATATTTGATGTGTTTTTGTGATTAGAAAAACTTAATTGTTTTGAAAATTGTTTTTTTTGTATATAAAAACGATTCATACAATACATGCGGAATATAATAATAGAAGTGAAATAGCGGTTAGAAAAAGGTTTTTGTATTATATATTCAAACAAAATTGTATGCAATTATCATAATTAGTTGAAAACTTTCTCAAAACTATTTCACAAACTAAATAATAATAATATGAATATTTGAATCATTTATAATTCAGTTTTGCCAAAATTTGTCTACAAATTACATATTAATAGAAATTCATGAATCGTTTCAATGACTGAAACCATTATAATTGTACGAATCGTTTGTATGAAATTTTTTGCGTAGTCTCTCTCTCTCTCTCTCTCTCTCTCTCTCTCGAGCTTTTCGGAGCATTGTTTGTGAAACTCACGACTCGTATTATATTTTGGTGATGAAGAGAATGGTCTCTCTCTCTCTCTCTCTCTTTCCGCAAACATTGACTGAAACGAAACTTTTTTAAAACGAGAAAAGAGATGAGACGAAACAGTTGTGAATATATTTTTGTTGTAATAACTAATTTTGTAGCAATCATTGCCGGTATACAGTATAATCACTATAACGACAAATTAATCAATTATTACATTATATGATATATTAATATGTATTTTAAAATACAAATTACTTTTGCATAAGAGAAGTGTTATTCACTTCTTATGTGACACCAGATATGAGTTTTAGGAAAATTTATGTTAATTTCAAGATTCAGTATTCGCTTCACAAATATCTCGCAAACAATTTTATGCATTAGAGGAAAGGCTTTGCATTTAAGACCTGACTGTCATTAATATACAAAATTCATTTAATGTTCAAAATTCGAAAAATGCCATTAAATTGTCAAAAGCATTAGAGTCTGTGCTATAATTTCTAACCAAAAAAGTTTTTACTCCAACTTTTATATACTTTTCTAAAAATTCAATGGATATTCATATAAGTTATAAGTATATCAACATATAAGTCAAGACTCGAGTTGTTTTCCTGTTTTCTTGACGTATATTTTCTGTGAATCATATCTTTTATAATCACATCATTTCATTTTAACCGAGAAAAAATTGATTGAATAAACTTTTAATGAAATTTTCCTCAAAATGTTATACACATTATATGCCATATATTATGCAGTACTGTATGATAGCATAGAAGTGTGTTTTATAACCAAAATAGTTATGTATTTAGTTTTCGTAAGAAATATAACGCCTGTTATATTAAAGTATAGTATTATCTTAAGTCAAACCAACTCTTATATCGCTTATCAGTTCTAAATCTAATTCAAATTCAGTTCAATTATAAAACATTACGGAGAAAAAAGTTTGTATGAAATATATTTTATTTTCTAGAAAAGTATCGATATTTAAACGTTTGATTATATGATTTCTGAGGCATTTCCTCTCATACATAGCCTTATAATGTATTCAAATTAGGGTTTGAAGTGAATTTTTAATGAACTTTTATATAGTGTTATATACCATAAGCCAGCAAATTGTTCGCCGGGTTTAATAGCGCCGGTAATAAAGAAACAACACTTCTTGAGGCCATTTCTTAAGCCTCAATCAAAATATGATCAAAAAGATTATACTCTACTCTACGATAGCATATATTATACATCATAAGAGAGAGAGAGAGAGAGAGACCATTCTCTTCATCACCAAAATATAATACGAGTCGTGAGTTTCACAAACAATGCTCCGAAAAGCTATTATAACGCAAATTATATTTGAATATTCATTGAAATTCTGTCACACAATTCAAAGTGAGAGAAAATTTACTATAATTTTGGCAGTAATTTCGCAAACATTTTTTGATGGATTTTATTGGCTTAAAATTGTAATATTCATAATGTATAGTATATTTCGTTTGATGTTTAAACATATTATTTTATTTCTGTGTATCACAATACAATGTATTTAAATGTGTATAATTCTAAATATACTTTCTAATATTTTCAGTTCAAACTTCAGACCAAAGTTAATAAATTTTTTATTATTGCAACGTTTGATCTTAGGATCTATTATACAAAACATATGGAAGTTAGAAAATTAATAAAACGAATTTACAATATATTTAAAACATACAAAAGTAATTATAACACCAATAATAAAAATGGGGCCAAATATTAATTGTGATTAAATACAAGCGTCAGAATAAATAGCATTTTGATATGCTATCAATATTATATGAATATTGATTTTGTGATTTATTTCTAAAAATACATTATGCAATATATCAATACTAGATTTTATCATTATTTGTTAAACAACTGAATAATTACTCAATCATTGCACAATAATTTATATGAAATACATATCCCTTAAAACAATTTTATAAGTCTTATATAATGTTAAGAAATTTTGCAGAATTGTGGTAAATATATGTAACCGAAAGCCCTGTTTTATTTGTAAGTTTATAATCAATAATAAAAATATTTATTTAGTTTCATATGTGACAGGATTTTAAAAAAGTTTCCAATATATAACTTATAGAAAACATTTAATGTCCAAAATTTTCAGTCCAATGAACTCTCTCTCTCTCTCTCTCTCTCTCTCTCTCTCTCTC